ACCTTGTTAGGGGCGAACTCGTAGAATGCAACATGAAAATGTATTATTCAAATTATCATGTTTTATATGATTCGTAGCGAAAGTTTACTCACACGTAGCCATCGTCGACTGTACTTGTTTTGTTCTTTAAATCCATCCTATTCACAACAGATCGAAAATATAACCAATAGTTTTTAATGTCGACGGATATATCCAACAGTGGCTTATAATATTTAAAAGGAAAAGACGTGTTTTCAATTAATATTTCATTAGGCGTTGACTTTGTAACGGTTGCAAATTGGGGACGTAGAAACTTGATTTCCCTGTACCTGAAAATCTGAAGTCCCAATCTGAAAATGAATGGAGCTGTGATTTTTTTTTTAACAAAGGTAATAGCCGTTGGAGTCTACAAATAACTAATCACCTTTCTGTCCCTCCATATTTAACGTGGTTTTATTGTCTACTCGAATGATATATATAACGAAAGTTGTAGGTGGGTTGACGGCAAGGTATAAAAGCATAGTAACTCATTGCCATGTTTCAGATGAATAATTATAAATTTAACATTATATTGTAATGGAAGTACTGCAATGAATACACTTAGCAAACATGCCCTAAATAGCATACAGAATAAAATACTCGCATATACGAGCAGCTGTATTTTTAACTAACTATACACAAAATTTAGTAAATATTATTACCCGTACGCCATGCAAACAATAACTGTAGTTGCAACAATTCCAGACAATGTAGTAAGATAATGAGTAGAACAAGTATCTCTCGCCATCAATGAACTCAGCCTAGTATTCCAATGCAACAGATGAACACGAGGACGTTCTCTCCCAACACAGCACAAAAGGGGCAACGAATTTGTCAGCTCTTAGTCCTACGCAAAAAGCATGTTATGCCCTGATGGTCAAGAATTCGAATGTAGGAGGTACAAAAAGCTATCTTCTTATGTGTTTTACATTGTCAACATGTTATCGATTAACATTTCCTGAACATGTAAGATTTTGAATTCAACCAGTCCAATTACTGTTGTATTGAATTTTACGTACATAATTAAATACGAAGATCTAAACGGAGTGGTTCTCAACCTTTTATTGACCGCGTACCACTTTACTGTTTTTTACTATGGCCGAGTACCACCGACAAAGCCGGCGTGGGGGTTGCCAGACCCCAGCGATCAAAAAAAGCCAAATCAAGACATAAAAAAGCCAGAAAAAGCCAACAATTTTACTAAGTACAAAAGCCCCATGATTTGTCAGATTTTAAGCCCTTGGCAACGTACTGATGATGATGCAGAGCCATCAGTTCATTCAGTGAGGCACACAAATAGAAAGTAAAGTTCCTATAGAACTGTAGAAAGTAAAATAAATATCAAGCGGGCAGCATTATTTTACCATTCAATATATACAATACAGGGTGCCGCTTCAGTCTGTCAGTATGTAATATACCTACAATATGTTTCTACTTAAACTTGTGATACATCTTAAAAAATTCTCCCTATATCGTACTTTACTATTGAAAATTTTTTCACTTTTAAAATTTATAAACCATCAATTTTATTAAAAAATTATCTAACCCCCTGCCGCTCACAGGTGGACCACTGATATCAAATTCAGTAATTTTAGCGTAGTTAATCACATCGTTACTGCAATTGCAGAATTAAACTAAAGCTGAAAGCTCACATAAACCATATCAGGCATAATGAAAATTGAGTTATACAACCATTTTTTGGAAACAGAACGTAAACTGACAAATAACACGCAAAACTATTAAAACGAGGCAATGTTTACAACCCTGCTTGAACATCTGTCTGAGCAGCTGCAGAATATATACGCTTTGGGTATGGGTGAGATTTAATGTAACAAACAAGGAAATTGATGCTCCAGGAAATCATAATGTTAAGTAGCTAAGTACAGGTAATAGGCTATTGTTCAGTTGTTACACACTAAATATTGTATTTCATATGATTTTAATAATACACACTAGAATAGACTTGAAAAAAGCCAAAAAAACGCCAAAAAGCCAAACGGAAATTCTGACGCCAAACGCGTTTGAAAAAAGCAAATGGCAAATTTAGCGTTAAAAAAGCCAATATGGCAACCCTGAGGACACAAGAAACGTGCCGTGGGAGTATTTTATACTGTGACACTACATCCTTTCGAAGCGAAACAATTCTCGGTATAGACTGGGTGGCAACGATACGACAATGCGGTCATCGGAGTCTGTTACCACCCAACATTAATATCAATAAACATGAATAAAAAATGCTTCAGATATGTTTTAAAATATTCTAGGTGTGTCCAAAAACAACATTAAATTTCCATGGAAAGAAAGAACAATTACCAAAATATTTGCGTAATGCGTATACACAATAGGCAATAACATATAGGCGTTTAAAGTTGAATAGAATTTCGGACATGTTGCACACTTGATCAAGTTGATCAAATTTTATTGATCAAATTTTACATGAATATGTATTTTTGAGTAAATGGATGCATCAATTGCGTGGAATCGGGATACACAATAACTTTTTGTGTAAATGGTGAAAGCATTTAGGCAGCATATATCTAAAGACATTAGACAAAATCATTACAAAGTAACAAAATAAATTTGAACAGTTTATAAGGTACAGAGAAAAAAGAAAAAAAGTGCACATCCATAGGTGATGCTAATATACTCCATCAATTGGCTAGAATGAGACAGTTGTATTATTACTTGAATGTTCTCGCTTTGAAAATACGTATCAAGTGAAATATTGTACATGGAGGCATTGAAAGCCAGAAATAAAATGAGACTTGTAGGGCTAGTAGTGGAATACTAATGGAACTTAATTTCAGGGAATAATTGAAAAAATAAAAAGAAGAACACCCAATGTTAAATTATAAACTACAGTTTCATTCTGCCAAAAAATGAAAAATCCGGTATTTAAACGAAAAGCCATTTCCCAGATGTGTTCAATATGCACACAGTTGTTAGTGGCCAGATCTTATCCCAGATAGAATTTGAAGGGAAAATGAAAGGATTGAGGCAACAGGGTGTTAACATGTCATTTTATGTACCTGAGTGCAAAAAAGGGGAACACTGCAACAGTAAAATATATAGTAATGAGGGAATTCAGATTGCAAAAATTGAGATACCGATTAATTTAAAATAAGTACATTATTTAGTAATTGCTCTAATATTTTGTAATAATATTTTGTATTCATTTGAAAATTTGACACTCAGAAATTAAATTATATCTTGCCCAGGATGCGATTTTTGTTCGCCGCGTTTGAACGAGTGTTGACTGGTGCGCGCTCGTTACATTTTATCTATCTGTGGTAGAAAAAGTTGGAATACAAAAACAAGGGCCCCTTGTTATGATTTGACAGTTATTATTTTTTTGTGACACAACTTTCTGTTGGATGAGGATGGGTATGTATATCACATCGCAAGCCACGGCTTTCCATGTCGCAAGAACATTCAGAACTGTTGCGTCTCTGCGTGTTGAACGATGGTCCGATGCTTAATCGCAAGATGGCGGGACAGAGCTGTATACGATCTTCTTGATTTGCTCAACGTGATGACTGATGATGATGACATGTTCTGCCTTCATTTCTTCGTTCTAGTAAAATTGTAATATTTTTTTTATCAGATCAAAAGGAAAATACGAACTACCGTTAAGTTTAACATTGGATTTATAAGAAGAAAGAACGCAAATGACTTCCTCACTAGCTGTGTCTTCTTTCGTTGGTCAGGTGTCGATGTTTTGTGAGAGAAGCTTGAGCTTGAGGCCCCTTATTTGTCTTAAATTTTGTCTAGTAGTGAATTCTTATCTGTGTACAAAACGGGTCAAGCAAATAAGAATAGATACGGTATCGGGACGTATAATACAGACATACGGTTACTTTTTTTTATAAAATGCTTAATAAAAGCAATTCAGCAAGTGCTGTACAGGTACCGGTATCATTTGTTTTTTACAGACAGACAGATGTAATTCAACCTTGAGATGTATGTATGTTTATTCGTCTCATAATAGGGATACATAAATAAATGAACAAATATTATTATTTAAGACGGGATGCATGCACAAGACCGTGCTGGCCTAAAACACAAATGTGCGGCATGCACCCCTTTTGACAAATACAAAAATATAAAACAAAAAAACATTAGATCTGTAGATTAAATATGTATAATATGGTCCCTTATACATAGCAATGAAATTTATGCGCAAATCAGTTTGCGCAAATCTGATTTACTCTTGCATTCTGATTTCCCAAGCTAAGTATTTCTTTCATTCAGTTGTTACAGTACAGCAGTAAGAGTTTTAAAAAGTTTTGAAACTTAGTGAGAAAGAACTTCGTCAAAATTTTAATAAATATCCACATTTATCAAAGTTGCAGTATTCCAATCCAGCAATCAGATAGAGGTGAAGGAACTTATATTTACGGTAGATTGAATTTGCTTGTGGCCAGGGGGGGCGGACAACTCACCAGAGACAACTCGACTACAGAGAGGTCTGGTGAGTTGTTCGCATTTTCTACGGTTGCATTTTGAGCCTATAGGAATGTAATTTCAATATTTTTAGGGCTCTAATATTGAGAAAAATATATTAACTTTCTCTGGCATTTCAGTGACATTTCAAAATCTGCAGATAAATTACCTATTGGGTGTTTTTTGATTACTGAAGCTTGATGAATAATGAGAAAATTGCTTCACATAATTTTGATGAAGTTAAAATCTTCATGAAATGAAAAATGCGCATTATGGCCGTATGAATTATCTTAATCTATACTTAACCTAGAATCAATGAAGAATCCTTCAATCAAAATAATAATCACACTAATCAGATAACACCCAATACTCCCTACGCATCTATTAGACATTTAAAATTGATTTATTTTTGTTTATTTTTCCATCTCATAGTAACCTCAGAATTAAAGAAGGTACCGGTAGTTTAAATGGAATAAGAACAAACATTCATTCTTCTTTTATATTGAAAACTAATTTGATTGTTTCATTTCATTATTAGTGTATTATGTTGTAGAATGGCATGGGTTTCAAGATAATAATCAATAGGTTATTGTGTGTTCCTTGCGGTACAATGTTATGGATACATCAAAGAATGAATGCAAGTAAAGAACAAACTTTACGTTTTGCAAAACTGATGAGTTTGCTTGTTGTTTCAACCGTTTTTGTTTTATTGACAATGCTGCTGATATCTCAATCATTTATATTTTCTCCGGTCAAAAGAAATGTTGAAAAATCAAACAATGGACATTTTTCAGTCGATGAATCATTTCTACTTTTATATAGATCTGGAATTACAAGAACTAATACATTTGATGATACAAAAAATAAACTTCTTACACAAGAAAAATTTGGTGATAAATTTGCTCAAGCGAATTTTCTTCACCTAAAATTACAACATCTTGTTGCTTTAAGTTACCTCAGTTCCCCTTTTCAAAGTTCATCAGTTGCCAAATCTGATCGAAAAACACCACCTAAAGAAGATGACTTCAATATTTTTGGCAACATCAATTTTACATTTTTAGTTAATGAACTCAATGTTGTTCTAAAGGTTCAGAATTTTTATCTTCGACAGTGGGGATGTCGGGAGTTAAAAAATTTAAAATTTCCCGCTCATGTTGTTAAAACGCAACACGGTATGGTGGGTAATGTGGCTTATGGTGGAAAAAATGTTGCATTGCAAACTTGTGTTGCAGATGTTGATGAATTAATGGCTGCCAAATGTGGTTCAGCAGATTCTGATACTTCACGTGAAAATACAAACCGATGCTTTTTGTTGAAAAATCGTAGGATGCTACAGCAATATCTATTTCTTCAAGAATTATCTCATCCAAATATTGTCAAGGTATATGGAGTGTGTATTCAGACTGGATCTAATCCCACAGCTAGTTCTTTTACATTAGCTAAAGAGGCTGGTTTAATTGCAGACATTGGTAAACTAAAAATGCAGCCCTGGAATCATAGACTGAAAGTAGCATTTGATCTTGCCAACCTTGCTGTTTATTTAGCTAAGAGCCCAATTGGAAGCATAAGGCTTGAAAGTTGGGCACCAAATAAATTCATCATCACGCAAGTCGGCTCTTCCACACTCACTGTAAAACTTTCTGATTTTGATCAAGCTATTGTATTGACTGAAAAGTCATGCAATTATGATCGAGACTGCTCAATAGGCAAGATATCTTCAGCGGTCAAGTGTATGCATGGCCTTTGTAAAGATTATAATGAAAAATTCAACCTGTATAATTTGTATATTTCATTTTTGAGTCCTGTTTTAGAGGACCATATTCCCTCACGATTGTCTTCAGAAGCAACCAATTTGTTTAATAGTCTAAGAAACCTTGAATACAATGCCACTGTATTGGTACAACTATTAAAATCCCTTAAACCTTCAATGGAAGAAATAGCAGATGGTGCTCATATTAGGGGGGACCCTGATAATTTATTACTACAAGACGGCCTTCACCCTCCTGATGGTCTTCAAGTTGATTCCTGGGAACAGCATGAGTCCCATATTGCTATTAATGAGGTTGATTTCAACCAAGATCCTGTCAACCAAAATAACATACAACCCGTAAATAACGTTGATTCTGAAAATAATAACGCATACAAGGACACATTTGGTTATAAAAAAATCGACAATGCTGATTTCCCCGGAAGATATGATTATTATTGTCCTCACAGTAAAGCTGAATGGGGATGTGTTGTTTCACTGCGTAAATTAGAAGATGCCGCCAAAAAGTGTGACGCTGATGCTAAGTGTGAAGCGTTTGTGACGATGCCACATTTGCGAAAAGAAGGCTGGATAATAGTAATTTTAAAAAGTGATAACACTAGAGCTGTTGATCATGCCGGAACCACGGTATATATAAAACCATCGGATGAAGATGATTCTAAAAATAATAAAGATTATGCAAATGGTGGGGGATTAGACTCCAGTGTTGTAAAACTATGCTTGCAAGATTTGGTTCAAGCACAAGAATCTATGCGAGAGAAACGAGAAAAAGAACTGATGAAACCCTGTGGGTGGGAAGGAATGAGCGACTCTAAATTACAATCCATTGTTCTGGATGCTACCGTTGCTGATGCTACAAAATTTAAACCATCTCGCGGCAAAATGGCGGTAGGGGGACAGATGAACATTATGCTGGAAACTTCATCAAAGCCTACTCCGGCTTTATTTTTAGCCAAGAAAGGCCCAGAAGAATTTCATTTAGCACAATTAACAACATATCATTTAGATAGAATGTTGGGATTATACAAGATTCTTCCAGCTTTTCTTCGTACTTTGACAGAGCAAGAGATGACTGATGCAGGTTTTCCAGTTGATGTCGGTGGAAACCAGTTTGATATGTTCAGGCAACTTAAAAACGCAGATCGTTCATTGTCTGGAACTATTGTACCCACTGCCGTCGGCAAAGTAGGAGTCGAACATTATATTTCAGTCCCAAAATTAGGACAAGTAACTAATGCAGTCACTCCGTTTAGTCGTCGGCAATATGACGATTTGGAGTATTTATTATTAATGTGGCTGGCATCTTTACCGCTGCCGACAAAAGGTCACCCTAGTCTTCAAAGACATCTTATTCATATAAAAGCAGATGAAGCGTTCAAATCTGAGCCTTCACCTGTTGTTTTATCATATTTTTATAATTGTCATTTTCCGAGGATCGCAGTTGATGTTTTACGAAACTTGCGAACTGCTCATTGTAATTTTGGTGATCAACTCATTGCAAGAGTGCAGACTTCTTACCCTGATTTGCAAGTGAGTGCTTTTTCTTTTAAACTTCCTGTCGCAGATATTGCAACAAGGAATGCGAATCGATTACTTGAAGTAGTGGACTTATGCGTTGGAAAATTTGGTGATAATGTGGTCCTATATGACTCTTGATGAAGGCTTTGGCTCATGGAGCAAAACGGTGCATTTGTAGCTGTCACAATTGCCTCTATTGTTGTGCAATATTTTCTAAATGATATACCGTAAGGAATCAGATAAACCTTATTCCTTAGAGAAGTTGCCAAAATTTGATGCAGAGCTGTTCGTATTCATGTGGGTAATGTAAAATTGTACCCAATTCATTGTTACAGTTTTGGAAACGACAAATTTAAACATTGTGCGAAAAATTATCATTATCCATTTTTTATGAGAGTGGGCATATATTTTTTGCCTCATTCAAAATGAAATAGCCATTATTTAACCATGTTATGAAGCTTCGGTCAAATCATGTTTCATCCTCTTAGTTTCCCAATTGAACATTTTCATTAACATAATTTTGTTTTACAAAGTTTCATTCGATACGACTTAAATCACAGCATCATGATCCACTTGTTCAGCTTATCACAATGACACTGTATATTTGCACAAAGCACACTTATCTCAGCTATGAATAGCGTACTTTTTGAGAAAATATATTTTTCTGCACAGCACTTTTATATCATTTTTTACTTGTTTGTTTGTTTGCTATGAATATGTAACAGAATCTTTTGAAAAGGTTTGTAGATTGTTTGCTGACATCGAAAATCAACAGAGCCGTTGAGTATCCAAATAACATTAATCAAACTGGTGGTTTCCAAGCACTTTCAAATGCTTTAAAATAAAACACAGTTGCAGCAGGGTTTACTTTATATTTTATTCATTGCGACTCTATCAGTAGAATATATTATTAATATTGTCAAATGTCAATCATACCAAGGCTTTTATCAGTATAGACTTGATAAATTCTGATTATTTCTTTTAATGAATTGACTGGTCTAGGGCCTCTAGGCCTGGGCTACTCAACTCTTTTCACCAAAGATTTGTATACAAAAATTTGAATTACTGGGTTCAGGTCTTTGCATAAAATATATTTCACAGACCGCAGCAGTGTTCACTATTAGCGCACTTTTTTGCGAAAATTGCGAAGCACTTTCGCAACTTTTTTTAGGGACTGCGAAATAGCACTTTTTTTCGATTTTGAAGAGAAATAGCACTTTTTTTCGATTTTGAATGGAATAAAAATTCAAAGTTGACAAATATTTTTGTGTGCGTATTAAGTTGACAAATAAGTAACATACTAGTACTTTTGTAACTCAATTCTGCATATCATAACGATATTTACCGGAATTCTAACCTATGTGGTGAAGACACGGAAGATAAAGCTTTTGCATTAACGGCAAAATTCTTGTTTATAATATGATTATTATACAAGCACACTGATTCCGCTTCCACGCGAAAACGCTCGGCGGCGTCTTTGAAACCAGATGTCCGACTGCAAGGCAGTGCGTTTCTCTAACCGAGAGTGGTCATGTGACTGTCAATGACATCGATGAATTGTGACCAAAGTACACGATTTTCTAGTACTGGTTTGACAGGTCTGTGTTCTCTTCTTAGTGAATTTACTGGAGCCATTCAGAAATTTCTGATACTCGACACGACATTGTTTAGTAATGGAATGTAAACTTGGGCCATTGTTTGTTAAATTAGAAGAAACTTTTAGCAGCATCACACAGATTTGCAAAATCGCCAAATTGACAAAATACATACGTCGTCGTATTAACATTTAACAGCCATTTTATTGTAACCACGAATGATAAAAGCAAATGGCGTTTCGCGGAATTTTGCGATATTCAGTATTAGCTAGTCTAGTCATTCACGATAAATCAAACTCAGACCAGGGTCAAAAATCAATCTAAACTATTTCCTCATTAATATGCGAGTAGGGGTGGGCAAAATCGAATATTTTTTCGAATTGAATATTTTTAACGAATAAGGAATATTTTTTATGCACAGCAGGAGTCTAGAACGTCGGTCGAAAAATTAGCAAGTAAGCCTTTACTACTGGTTAATTTCGTTATAATAGCTAATTGTTTTTGTCACCGCAATCGTTTTGGCGACTATATCCTGGGTTTGGCAATCCAGGCTTACGCGTGCGTTCACATCGGCAACAGCTGTTAAGGGCATTAACGACAAATTTCAAAACCAAAATAAACATTTGCGTTGACTTGATATTACCTATCAACGTTTGCAAATTTACTGTCCCAATTTTAAGCGAATGGTATTATTATTATCGATGCCGGAATGCAGATATTTAAGACGATAATTAACTTTTATAATTTTTTTATGGTGTCTGTATTAATTTACAGATAAACCTCGCAAATCTGAGATTGTGCCAATCCTGAATGTTGATTTAAAATTGTGATTAAATAATTCGGCAATGAAGGCATTTCTGCGTGGCCATAAGACGAGATGACTTTAATAAACAGCACTTCTTTAAGGATATTTTACATATGCGACTAATGCTAAAAACATTGGGCCCCAGTGCTCTGGTGCCTAATCAGGCGCTAATTGCAACTAATTCAACTTAAGTTTCAACGACTTTTTCCGTCTTCACGATATGTTATCTTTTTTATTCGGCGCTGATAATGATAAATAAAAAATGTGTAATTGTTGATTACAATTCCGGAAAACGTATTTTCCTTCCTCACCATGAAACGAATTTAACCGCAGTTAACCGCGCATTGGAAAGCAAAACACAATTTATTAACATTACTTTACAACGAGTTACGGGTAAGAATTAACCAGACGGCTATCGCTAACATGTAGAAACAATAAATTTGAAACGATTTTGTATAAAGCGTGTCAACATCGTTTTTGTAAATTTAGAAACGTCGATAAGTAAGACAAGTAAATAATGTATTTTATGGAACTTTCATGGGATATTGGTGAGAAATATCATTTTGACCATGTCGAAATGCCATTATTGCCGATTTATTCACATGTTTAGTTACTATCAGTGTTTTAACCCAAAGCTGAGTTACGTAAATACTTAACATTGAGTACTCAAGAGATAACCAATTTGCGGAGTTTTTCAATTATTATTTAATACGAAAGTAACACCGACACGATCTAAAATAAAAAGCATAGAAATGTCAACTATCTGCTTCACAAATATCGCATCCCGGGGTCAGTAATAATATTATTGTTCGCTCAAACTCGGGACCGTAATTTACGAACTGATACAAATCCTACACAGAAGATAAAAATCAGAACAAAATCAATTTTCGTTGTGAATGCGCTCATTAATAGTTGTCTTTAAAATCTTCGCCGATGTGAATTCACAATTCTATCCGAAATATAAAAACCAAACTACGATGCCCGCCGTTACGTGAGAATTAATATTTGCTAGTGAATAAAAACATGCTTTAATATAGTTTAACAACACGATCGCGGCGACAAAAAATTTACTCCAGCCTTCGATTATGACAAAATTATGAAATAATCATTGAATGGCAATAAAAATTTAACTTCATTAACAATAATTTTCAAGTAATAGTTTCATATTTTCATGATTTTGATCGTCGCTACATGCGAGAGTGTTTTTGTACATATAAACCATGATGACACTACTGACATCTGCGAGTTATAGATCTCTCCAAATTTAATTTTCGCGATTTTTAATGTTTCATTTCTAGATGTGGATGCCCGCTGACTACGGATAAATGGTCGATGTTTTAAAATAGGACTTCGGACCGTTCGGCAAAGAGAGGCGGGCTACACGTAACTGCGAAATTTCGCCGTGAACGACCTTACATTTTAGTTATAAACGCATTACGTCGTCGCGAATTGCAGTTTTAGTGTAATGTTTTAACTTCCCCCTAATCTCCCGTTGAAAAAATCCTGGCTGCGCCCCTGCCCGGTGATAATTATAGCTAAAATGTTACAATTTTATTTACGGAATTTGCAAATTCACCATTTTGATGATCACGCCCTAATTATTGGTGCAAAAATAATCAAAATATAACGAATTTAATCATTTCCGATGTTAATAGGCGCAATTCATGACGGAGACAGGGTGCGTTGTTACATCGAAATTCACGATCGATTTTACGTTATACTCTTGTTCACGATTTCAACACTCCACCGCCATGCATGGCTGAGTGGAAGGTTCACATTTTCGAAACATTACTTGGTCAAGGATGGGAGGGATCACTAACGAGCTAATTGAAAGCACATTAAAAGGATTATGACTTGTCATTTTTTTCTGGTTATAGCCTGTAAATGTTATACCGTGTGTGGGCTCTCGGAACGTCAATTTAACTTTTAATTTTCGACAATCAATGTGTGTGCGGCTCCTACATGAAACGGCTAATTCATGCTGCCAATATACGGAGTTTGAAATCTGGGATATTTATTTCGAATAGTCTATTTATTTTGACTCTTCTAAAATTAGGAAGCTTTGTTGGTACCTTTTTTGGCGCAAAGTATGGAATTGAAACGATACGAATATTTTGCCCAGTCCTATAGGCGAGGTTATGATTTTAACGCAGAGAATATTTGTAAGCTTGCGAACATCGGGGTTGGGCGGAATTATACGATTATGTTGTTGTTCTTAAATAATAACTTTTTCGATGAATGTTTATTTTACTTTTGTGTATTAATTATGATATGTTGAGTTTTCGTTTATTTCAAATTCGAAATTGTCCGGAATACTCAAACAGGTGTAATAAGTGTAATATTGATAGTATAGTGTAATCGAGTAACCAACTTAGAAGTCTTTAGAGATGTCTAATGAACTTGATGTGTTACGGGTGTCGTAACCCCCGTTTTTTTTTTTATTAAATTTGATTGTTCTACCTTCCGCTTTTAAAACAACATCGTTATACAGTCATCTAAGGTAACTCTCGCGACCAAATCTTTTTGTTCTGTATGGCATCACCTTAGCGCCATTTATTACCGACTGAATTTTAATTGTGTTTTATGATAAGTTATTTTCTGCTGGTTGGCGCTGATAACGTCGCTAATTTCTGTATAAACATGGAAAATTTTAAATATGTTCCTTACGTCTCTGCTATAATTGACAAGCGATAGCACAAGATTCAGCAGCAAATGATAAGCAAAGCTATTTTATAATCATGGGTTGCTTAATAAAGATTTGTTAATTATGGCAGGATATAAAGAACATGGCCTGAAATATATTATTAACAGAACGATGTTTATTTTTCAGTCGACGAAAACCCTTAATAATAACGATTGCCGAAATCGCGAAAAAAATAAATACGGATTTTTGATTGTGATCAGATGACTGAGAGGGCACATGTTTTTTCTCTTTTCAAAGCAGATATAAAACGAATACCATGTTGCCGAAAAGCGGTTACGTGTTATCTTTCTTTAGCCAATCAAAATAGTGGTGATGGTATATATAAAAGGTTTCTAAACTTTACAAACTCGGAACGCAATTAATATTAAAATTACAAGTAATGGTGCATGGAAAAACGAATTTGATTTTATTGAAATTGAAACGCACACACATAAGAGTTTTACATTTCATGCACAACTAACCGATGCTACATGTGAGATTTGTGCACATGAACGATTATATATCGCGATTATTTATGTGAGAATGCTGCTCTTTCAACTTTAATTTCCAGGATTTCGGCGTTCACTTGGT